TGTGAGTCCTAAAGGTCAACAGTTTGAAACCATCCACCCCTCCTTTGGAGACTTAATAGTATCAGAAACTCACGGGGGCAGTTCTACCCAGATCTACCTATGGTCACTATAAGTTGGCATCAACTCAATGGCAATGAATTGGGTTTGGTTGTAAACTTGATCCCCTGTAGGAAGTTCTTTAAAAGAACTCAGTTCTCAAAGTATCTTTACTACTAAAGCTAAACCTTTGTATGGTTTAAAGAAAACATTAAGGGGATGTTCTTGGTTTAAAATTTTAAGATTATGTCAGGTGAGTTTCTGGAGAGTTCATATAACCTCAATGGCTCCAGAAAGTCTGCTTTCCCATACTTCCCCTGCATTTGATCAGGAATTGTTATAGAATCGAGTCAGTTTGGGTAGGAGGTTTATAAAAAAACAAGTTCCAGGTAGAGCATTTCAATGACAAATGACTGAATTTTTTTAAATTAATACTACATTAAAGGATAGCGATGTAATATTAGACAAATTGCCAGTAGTATTGGGAAAGCCTTAAAATAATGTGATGTAGTAAATATGACTTGGCATATAGAGAAGCAGGGGAGGTGAATTAACAATGTACAACTTAGTACTTAATAGTTAGGGTAAACTGTCATGAAAGCGGTCCTTGGATGAATAAAATGTTAAGGATCTACTATATCAGAAGTTTTAGTGTAATTACAGTAGAAACAAGGTATAAAATACCATGAATTACTTATAGGCAAAAATGACTTTGCTAGTTTCTGGCAATGCAGAAGACTTGACAGTGTGTCCTTTGCCTTCAAGGAGTTTATGGACTAGAGGAGAAAACAATATATAGTATAAAGGGAGGTTCAAATGTCCTAGGTTACAAATAATTAGATTTCAGTGGAGGCAGGAGAGACTTTCAAAGGGGGTATGAAGGTAGGCAGAGGGCCTGTTCCTATGCTGTGGTGGTCACTTGGGTCATTGTGATAACAAGCGTTTTCATTTACGTGAATTTCAGAGACAGGCCTTTCTTAGTCCAGCTTTTTCTGGAAGCTCCCCTGAAACCTGGTCGGCATCTGTGTAGCACTGTAGACCTGCACTGATGGGATGAAAGTGGTGATTATGCAGAGGGGGGTCATTGGCTAGGAATCAAACCCGTCTTCTACATATCTGTTAGTTGTTACCAACTGAAATATTGCTTGATCTTATGCCATCCTTGGAATTATTGGTCTCTTCAAGTTCATTGTTGGAGCCACTGTATTTTGAATGCTTTCTAGCCTAAGGGCTCATCTTTCAGCACTATACCAGACAATATATTCTTTTGTGATCTATAGGGTTTTTAGTTGCTAGTTTTTGGTCTAAAAGTTATGCTGAAACCTGTTCACCATGTGTTGTCACGGTAGTACATGAAATACAGGTGGCTTGGCTTTCAGCATCATAGCAATCACTCTTCTGTCATGAACGATGCAGCTTTTAAACCTTGGTTTTGATAGGGATGATTTGTTTACATATATAAACAAAATTAGAGGTTTTTAATTTGTTCCCAATTACTATGAACTTAAGGAGCTTGGAGTCCTGGTGGCATAGTGGTTATACATTGAGCTGTTAGTCACAAGGTCATCTGTTTGAAACTACCAGTGGCTCTACAGAAGAAATATGAAGTGTGCTACTTGCATAGTTATGAGTCTCAGAAATCCACAGTGGTAGTGAATACCTGTCCTAAAGAGTTGCTTTGTGAGTCGACATTGACTCTGTGGCAGTTAAGTACTATCAGTTGACTTGAGCTGTGTTGCAGAGAGATTAATTTGGCAGCAACTTGTAGATTGACTTGGAAGCCCATTTGTCTGTGGAAGATGAGTTAGAAGACACTTGGTAGTCTAAAGAGAAATAGGGTTTTCTCTGTAATTGCAACCATGTAAATGTATTACCTATAAGAAAAATAAACGTTAAGAAACTATTTTAAGATTGAGAAAAGGCATGAAGGAACTTATATAAAATGTTTAGTACACCTTAAGATATGATTAATTCATAAATACTGGAAATAGGTATACAATTTGCATATTAGTCACAGAAAGATCCAAACGTTAAGATTTCTTTCAACTACAATGCTTAAGTAATTTCGTATTGACTGCATTTTATTGCAATTGTTTCATGATTGCCTGTGATGGAATCGCAACTGCTATCTAATATTAGTGTGTGCTCGTAAACGCAGCAGTGAGGATAAACATTTTTGTTTCCATCCTGGTTGGATTTTGTAGATTTGGGAAGCCATTTGTCGTCCCATCCCCCAATAATACAGGGCATACAGAAATGGATGTAATTTTTATTCTGGCATAATGATTTATAATCTGGTATAAGGACTGTTTTCTCCAAAGATAGGCCAATTTAGCATCCTTACTGACTGCTTGATTGCTCGTTTTAAGTTTGCTTTGACTTTTGAGTAATACTGACTTTGCAGTGGTATTAGTCTGAAAAGCAACCTGGAATGAATTTATAGAAGCTAACATTTAACCCTCAGATTTAACTAGTTAGTTTACATTCTTGCAGTGAAAGACATACCATATATACTCAAGTATAAGCCGACCTGAATATCAGCCAAGGCACCTAATTTTACCACAAAAACGGCATTAAAATGCTGGAAAACTCAGCTTATACACAAGTATATATGGTAATACTTGCTATAAAAGCAGAAACTCTTCTATTGCACAAGCTTTCGTGGCATAGTGGTTATGCATTAGGCTGCGATTCCTAAGGTCCACAATTCAAAACCACCAGCAGCTCCTCGAGAGAAAAATGGAGCTTTCTACTCCTGTATAGTCTCAAAAACTCATAGGGGCAGTTCTCCCGTTTTATAGGATTGCTATGAGTTGGCATCGACTTCATAACAATGAGGTGAGGAGAGTCTTCTATTGCAGTGTAGCAGCTTAATTCTAAGCAACTTAAACCTGTTCTTTTTAGCTTTATAAGTCGAACTTGATAGAATAAATAGAGTGAAAAAGAAAATTTGCGTTTCCAGGTGTCTATTTTGGAAACCACTGTATATAGTTAGAAGTTGCCCAGACAATTCATTTTGATTTAGTATTGCTCCAAATTGGATCATATAGAATTAAAATTGATGTATTTGGCAATTTGTTCAGCATCTACCAAAAACCTGGTGGTCTCTAACGACCATAGTCAGATTTAATTGAAATGTGCTCTATTTGTCTTTGAGTATAAAGAGCCTTAATGTGACACATTGGCTAAGTGAGTAATCTGCTCCTGTGAAGACTTACGCTTAGGAAACATGATGGGGCCGTTTTGCTCCTTCCTGTTGGGTCCTGTGGGGCTGCTCACACTTGAAACCCAGCAGCCGTGCTGGAAGAAAGATGAGACTACTCCTGTAAAGATTTCAGAAACCCTAAGAGGTGGGGTCACACTGAGCTGTTACTACTGATTCAGTGGCACGGGACAACAGTAGTCCCACTGAACCAATTAAATGTGGGAAGAAATTGCTGAAAGATCTCTTTGCAAAATATCAGGAAAGGCTACCGTGGAAATCAGAGTATGTTGGGATAGCTAGTAATCATCAAAATCTGGGTTAGGAAAAAGCAAACTTTTAATTTAGGTATTATGGCACCACTATCATGTACATTAGACTTGCTGAATTCTGTAGAATTTGATTTTAATGGCTTAATTTTTGACTTGAACTAAACTGTAAAGCAGTGATGGACAAGTAAATGAAGAGAATGTTTATTATTTAAGAAGGAAAAGTCTGATATACATGTAAAGATCCGCAGGAAATTCTATAAAGTACAATTGGAACCTAGAAGGCGGCCCCTAAAGTGTGTAAGGGGTAGTCAGTATTTCAGTAAATGAAAGTCGATTGTATTTTAAGAGCTAGTTATCTGAATGCCTTTGGTGGGGAAAATGGTGTAGAATTTGAGGATTTGTCAGTTTGGTCCTTTCAAGGGAGGTGAGTGGTACAACTTAAAGATTTTCATATTAATTGTATTGATAAAACAGTGATTCCATGAGGGTTATCTAGGTAGTGACAGCTTTGAATAAGTAACCTATTGATCCAAACATTGGATTCTTAGTAGTTTTCAAACATCTTTGTAGTAATTTCTTAGAAGGGTGTTTGATTTGGGAGAGAAGGGGGGAATTGTGGGAATGATTCTACTACTACTTTGTCCTCCTTACCCTCCATACACAGCAACAATAGTCATGATGATCTTTTTGTCCTTTCAAAATGATGGTTTTATAGTTGCAGCATCCTGTGTTTGTGATACAGTTCAAAAACACGTTCTTACAGCAGAAGAGTATTTCCTTTCCAGGTCTAGTTTTGGCATATGGTAGTCATTTTTGTCTTACTCATCAAGGTTTCATATGTCTCCTGTGTAACTTTGTTCTTATCACCGTGTGTTCGCTCTAACGGTTTGGTGATATGCATATTACTCAAGAAGAGTAAGTGAATACAAAGACTGTAGACATTCAAGTCTCTTAAGTGAAATGGGAGCAAATGAGGGTTATGTATCACTAATAAATGAGTACAAACTGACAGCTGGACCTATACTGGCTAAAATACAAAAGGGGGGTAGTTTGTTTAACAACAGCCATTTGCCAAGAGTCAAGTAAAATTGTAATGAGTCATTCTAAGCAGAGTTTAAGCAAATGAGTGCTTCATTCAATTAAACAATTGAAGAGGTCTTTGTTGCTCCTAAATAATGTTCTAAAATAATGGTGAGCTGTTGTAAGAGATAACTGTTTTTATCTATGGTTTGCTTCTGCATATCTTTGCTATTTGCAGAGAAATTATTGTGGCAATTTCATTTCAGATAATAATATGGCCTTTTGTAAACACTTAAAAACAATCTGGCTGTTAATTGTAAGAATTACAGGGAGTTTTGTCTAAGTTTCTCATAACTGCTGTCAGCTCAGCAACAACCAGTTTAGACTTTAAGTAGGTTTAAAGCGAAGAGCATGACTTCAAACTTGGAAACTTATGTGAAGATGACCTTTTTTGTTTTTTCTTTTTGCAGAAATGGAATCTATTTGGAATTTGCAGAAGCAAGGTAAGAACGGTTGTGTTAACTGGAGTGTAAGAATACCAATCAGTAACAACAGACTGTTTTATTTTCAACTACAGTCAAAGAGTGCTAGTTACCTTAAGAGAGTTAGAAATAAAAATAACAAATTAGCCTCCCTTACCTTTTGGGAAACTAGCAGGCAGATCCATATTTTTATTTATTTGCAAGGTTTTAAAAATTACCATGGGTTAGTTTTGTTAAATATATCCCTTTCTAAGTATATTGTGATTATGGGATGCCTGAAATAAAGTGGTAGATCTATTTTGGGAAACTCGAATAATAGATTTAGGTTTTTAGATGCCTGTAACAACTATGTACCATCCATTTAGCTAGTTAGTATAAGTTAATTTCATAAATGTTGGAATTCTCAGAATTTCATAACTTGAAAGGACTTTAGAATTAATGTTTTATTCTAAAGTTTAGGAAAATAAGGCCCCCCCAAAATTACCTTTTTTGTCTTAACAGCTATGACCTGAAGATAATTAGCAAGCTGGGTTGCTTTCTGTGTTTGAGAACTTTATTCAAGCACAGATGGTAGACTGGAAAATACATCTTGCAAAAGTAGACCTACCTGGTTTTACTGTATAATGACTATTAACTACTAGGACTGAGCACTTACCTTCATTACAGATTGACTATTGGTGGCCCTTAGGCCCAGAAATGATACTCCATTTCCTAGACTAAGTTAGATCGATTCTTAGTATGAAGTGAGCTCTGAGAGTTTTTCATTATTATCTTTAGGCCTTTACAGTTTTCAATGACCAAAAACTCACAGCCATTGAGTTGTCACTGATTCGCAACAATCCTTATAGAACAGGATAGAACTTGCCCTTGTGAGTGTCCAAGAGTATAAATCTTTATGGGAGTTAGAAAGCCTCATCTTTTTTCTGCAATTTTTCCATTAGGTATCTTTTATTAAAGCAAATGTAGCTGTGATAGTCTTTATGATAGAAACTGTATGAAAACCATTGCCTTTCCAGAAGAGAAAGGAATAAGACAGGTAGATAGAACTTGGTGTTTATAAAGACATTTGGAAAAAAAGTTCATTTCTATTCTTGGATGAAAACAAAAGCACCTTTTCTACTTTGATTATATAATGAAGTACTTGACATTACAGATTTTAAAAATTAAATACACCAACATTTAGATGGGGGTGGCATTTAGGGCAAGCTGTTGGGAGTTTAATAAGTTACTTAAATTGTATAATACAAATTGAATGGACTGAAATGTAAGCCCCTACCTAATTCATAATAAAAAATATTTTAAAGAGGGGTGGGGCAGTTGGGAATAGTACCAGGGATCTTTGCTCAGACATGTGACAGTTTCACGTTTATAACCTAAAACATCCATAGACTCTTGCTGTTGCTAAAAATCAAGCTGGTGGTGCTGTGGGGAATTGGGAAGAATGCAGTTTTGAAAGCACTGAAATTGGAGTCTGCCAAAACAACTTCTTGGCCATAAAGTTTTTGCTGCTAGATTTTACCAGTACAGTTCTTTGCTGTAAATAATTGCTAATTGAAAGAAAATGTTGGCTTCATTTTGCTGAGAACCAAAGAAAAGTATGTTCAAGTGTCTTGGTATTAAATTATTATTTCTTAGTTCAAAGAAATCAGAATAAACCATATTGGAAGCCCTAGTGACTCAGCCATCTTTAGGTGATGTAGCCTTTCTTGGTCTCGAGGACCCTGCTTCTGGGAATCTGTTGGAACGCTTGCCTACTTCTGAGTTGAAAATGTATCTCAACCAAAGGGAAAAAAGAATGGCTCTCATTAATGCTAAGAGCATATGGCTCTTAATATGGGCCAGTTTAAATACTTACTGTTATTTGAGCCAGGCATTTTGAGAGCCAGGTCTTACTATGTTCATTATTTTTTTTAACCTTTCCAGATCCCAAAAGGATAATCACTTACAATGAAGCCATGGATAGTCCAGATCAATGAAGGTAGCAGGACCAGACTGCCAATTCGTAACCTTTCTGCAGCATTGGAGCCACCGTTCACAGGGGACGCGAGGCTTCTATGCTCCTAGATCTTCAACGCAGCAGAGGAACCATAAGTAGAATCACAGGATAATATATACAAATATATATATAAATATATATAGTTATTTAAAAAAAGGCAACTGAAAGTAATTAGACTTCTTAAGGAATCAAAAATTATTTCAAGAGACTGCGTATGGTTATTTAATCTCCGGTACTGAATAGTTTTTTTCCCCTCCCCCTTTTGTTAGATTTTGTTTTTAAGAGTGAATGCAAGTGATTAATGAATACAGACTTGACAAGTGTGGTTCTAAAATTCTGCTGTCATCAACTTGGGCAACAAATGACCCACTGGAAAGGCAAATCCACTTAAAAGATCTCTGTATCTTGTTCTGTGACTAAAGTGATACACTAATCATGGGGAACCCAGAATGATTCAACCTTGCCCCCACTCCTCCCTGGATCTTTCAGTTTCACTTGGATGATCCCTGCAAGAATGCTGGATAGATAAATGCCTTGAAGTTTGCAGGGGTTTTTTTGTTTTTGTTTTCTCTCTTTTTTTTTTTTTAGTGAATAAGATTTGCATGTCTTGCCAGGAGTTAAGCTCATCCTCTGGAGTGTTGGGGAGATATTTTTCCTTCTTTTTACTTTACTGTTTGTAGGGTGGGGGTGGGGGTGGGCACTAAAGTTCTACAATTCTGGAGTCATTGGTGGTCCACAGTCACTCGGCTTTGGTTTCGCATTGGATTTTTACAATTGAAGAATCCACGAATGGCCCCTGATGAAAAAATTGCAGAACAGACAATTGGCCTGATTATTTAATAGGGAAAAAAATACCCGTTCCCATATTTTAATGTAACTGTATAACTGGGAGCAAAACACACACTCTGCTTTTCCATTGTAGGTGCTCCAGACTTGCTCTCTGTAACACTAAATGTGCAGTTTTTTCCCCCCCGATCAAACATCTGAAGAGAAACTTGTGTCTTTCTGTAAATTCTCTCCCTTTTAATTTGTCAGAAAAATCTAAAAGAGGAAGGAAAAAAAACCTGTGAAAATGAAAACTTTGCATGTTTTTAGCCAGTGAGGAGGTAACAAACGTTGCCTAGCAAGGTGTTTCATGCAAACTATATACTTCTGAGCTTTTTAGCTTCTAATTATATCTTAATAAATATATTTTATTACTAGAGCAAGATCGGTTTTTTTGTTTTTGTTTTGTATTTTTAAAGAAAAATAATGTGAAATTGGAAATTTTTCTTGTGGGCAGTGAAGAGCAAAGCCCTGTCTCACCACATTGCCATTCTGTTGCGCTGCAGTTTGTGGATAGCATTGCTAACATACATTTTGGTGTGTGTGCCGAAACTTAAGGGTCCAATTTAAGATTGGGTATTTTTAGTAGCATAAAAACAAGTTCTCTGGCCTGACAGCATTACATTTCTCTCTCTCTCTCTCTCTCTCTCTCTCTCTCACACACACACACACACACACTAGCATATCCATGTATGTCAAATACAGATTAAGATAGCAGGGCATTTTTTATGAGGATATAATCTACAAAAGACTGGATTCCCTGGGACATTTGTGTGAGAGAGTAATTGCTTTTGCTCTATGAGTCTGTTGAAAAATGTTCTGTTTTGAGAGACTAGTATGAGTGGATTTTCTTGTTATTTTGAGGCTAAGGAGTGCTTTATGAAAGCTCCACATAGGATAGAGAAAATATCTTTTTAGTCTGGATTTCAGCCCTGCTTGGATTTTTAAAGTATAAGCATGGATTGCCAATTCCACTTGATGTAAACAACTTTTTATACATGATATATATAACTTATTGTATCAGTCCAGGTTCAGAAACTTGTGGTAGGCCAGTTCCAGATAGTTTCATTTCACCTGTAAACTGTATTACTTTTACTGATAATGTAATTTTTTAAATGTATAATATGTTTACAGATGTCCCCTACATTTAGTCTGACTTGTTCCTATTTGAGTTTTGTTGAATCCTCCTGCCTGCTTGTCCAAAACTAGGATGCTTTAGGCCCATGTACAATTGAAAGCATAGGCAGTCATCCTTGAGCTTTAAAGCATTGACAAACTGGAAAATGCAACATACTGAAGGGTTGGTTTTGTTTTTTAGTTAAATTAATTAAAAGGGGAAAAGCTCCAGTTTGTTTTATAGGTTTAAAAGTTCTTCTGTGTGTTCAGTTGCCTTGTGTAAACCACTTGTCGCCTTAGGGCCAGATTTTGTTTCCTTGTTTTTTGACAACATTTTGCTTGCCTGGAATTTAAAGCTCATCTGGCTCACAACTCACAGGAAATGGCAGCTTTGTGGTTTGCGACATACAGAGGTTAAAGGAATATACCTGTTTAAAAGGAAGGGTAAAAAAGAAAAGCTCCCATCTGAATTGGACTTTTTAGAAGCAACATTTAAACAAACACCAGTAGGCAGCCATGGCTTTCCTACTGCTTTTCATATCCTGCAGGCTTCCATAGTCAGAGAACTCAAATTGACTTTTGTTTTGGTCCAAAGGTTTTTGGGAGTCTGCTTCTAAATGAAACAATGCAACATGTCACATAATTTTTCCACTGACATTTCTTGAATTATATGGTTAGAGGTATATAGTTAGAATGATCTCTTTTAGCCTTCTGGGGATCCTTGTGCCCAATCATCAATTGTCAGTATTGGGGGCCATTGGGTTAATGGACTTAATTGCCTAGGTATAAGCAGGACTTTGGGATAAATCTCCGCTGTGCTGTTTTGTAACACTTAACTCCCTATTTGTCGAAATCTTTCTCCTAGGTCCTCACACAATTCCTGACAGAGCACTTATTAAAAAAAAAAAAGAAAAAATCTTAAGAATTGATCTGTTTCCTGATTATTTTTGTGTAAGCTTCTAAACAAACTTCAGCTGTGATTAATTTATCACATTTAAATAACAATGTGTTATTGTTGGGTATAAAGAATTTTCCTTCAACTCAGAGTATTAGTACTGTAGCATAAACCAAATACAGTCTAGAGGGGATTTTAACATCCCTCCATTATAAGGACTGAAAAGGGGTGTGTGTGTGTGTTTGTGTGTGTGTGTGAGAGAGAGAGAGAGAGAGAGGAGGTAGTAGAATTTAGGAAGTAAATGAATGTGTGTAAGACATTAGTATTCAGAGAATGAATTTGTATTTATTTTGTGCCATTTGTTTTCATTACACAGAATAAAGTCAGGTGGTTTTAATCCTTAAAAGGGTAGTATTTGAAAAATGGCACTAAGAATGAAATCATGACCTATTTTTTTAATAGCTATGAAGATACTAATTATGGGTGAAATTTTCTTTTAAAGATCTATCTTGATTGTAGGCTTTTGTGTCACAGACCACTCTCCTTGTAGGTGTCTTGTATAATTTCCTCTCCCCACAAAGACAGGGTGTATTTATCTTTCTCTATTCACACCCACTTGTTTGAATTGAAATTACTTGCATAGCCTTTCCTTTAACCTCTTTAGTAAGAAACCTTTATATTATTGTATTTATAACATCTGTAGTAAGCCTTTCCTCTGCCTCTGTTCTGGAAAGGGTTAGCCAATAACTAGGAATTTGTTTTGTTTTTTAATGGCTTTTTCTTGAAATGTTGAGAGATGTTCTCTCTGTTTTAGAATTTTGCTGTCCTTAAAATCTGCTTATCACTCAGAATCTATAAAAAACTTTATAAAGGAGAAAAAAAGTGCTGCATTTTTCTTTCAAATAACAGTTTTTAGGGAAAAATGTCAAACAAATGTGGGAGTTGTCCACAATACAAAATGTGTTTCTTCACAAATAATTGCACAGCAGCAGTAGTTTCATACTTGATTTTTAGACTTGTTGCTAACCCACATCAGAGGTGTCTAATGGTTTACCTTTTGCCTTTTGTTGTAACCATGCTGTAACTTTTTTAAACATTAAAAAAAAAAAAGCCATTTAGTGTGAAATTGTATGTCATGTACCAAATGGCCACAGGCAAGGAAATTGAGACGACTTGATTAAATCACCTGGGTGGGAAAGTCATTCTTGCAAACTGTTCACATTCACAGAAAATCCCATTTCCAATGATTATTGGGTATTGTTAAGACCGTTGGGTCATGTCCTATATACATGGTTTCTCATATTTAATGCTAATTGTATAACACACAAAAGCTGTGGGGAAAAAATATTATGGACAACAGTTTGTATTATCAGGGCTGTTGATGCTGCACAAGTTGGGATAGAGTCTGATAGGGTCTTAGTCTTAATCTGTAACTAGGATAGGCTATAGGAATTGCTCATCTCCCCCACTTCCCCTCCCCAAGTGTTGAGACTTGTTTAAAGGTGAGGGACAGATGACAAGACTAGAATCAAATAGCTGCTATGAGTTTGCACAGGCACATAGGTTAGCATTAGTTATTAGTAGAAATGCAGTTTTTATTAATGTAATTAATTGACAGCACCCCGATACTTTTAGGGTATAAAAGATGGGTTTCTGCTTTGTATCTTGAACGTGTCCATTTAAATGTATGTCGGTAGGTAAGATGTATCAGAAGCAGGAGCACCTTGGGTTGATTTAAAAGAATGATCCATCATTGGTTTCACTCAAAACCACTGCTTTACTGTGTTTTAAAATTTAATTTCACATTTCTACTCAAGAAAAGTCTTAAAAGTAGCTGGGTGCCAGAAATAGGAATCGAGCTTTCAGTCATGTGTGTGGTTAACTTCCCGGTGAGATGAAGAGGCAGAGGGTTAATGCTTTGCCTTACTGGGAGTGTCTAATGCAGCTGTAGTCTGGAAACTTAATCACATGATTCCGATGTCCTTGTTCAGAAAACTTTGCTTATGTCCTGTTAATAAAGCCATTTTATAATACTGCAGTATCCTTTTTCTACAGCCTTATTAAAAATTGTATATCAGTTACACCCTGCAGACCAAGAAACCAGCTTGAGGTAAATTAGCTTTCCGTGTACCCTTTTTCCTCAGGTGCTAAACAGAAGCTCCAAAAACGGACACTGCTTTAGGGACGTCTGCTCTATTGGAATACATGTTTCTCTTGATGTAGAAACTGGTGTTAACAAAAGTTGTTTTAACATGTAAATAAGAATGAATGCCTTTAGTTTGCCCCGTGTTTGTCTATTAGTCTGTTTCAGTTTTCCTCTCTAGAAGAGGCTCCTTTCATGATCTTGAATACATTTCATTAAGTATTGTTGCATTTTTAGAACGAAAATACAACTTTTCTGTCTTGGATTAATCCTGCTGCTGCTATAAATAACTGAAAATCAAGAATGTGATGCACTTTTTACATTACTATATATACACCATATCTTTATAGATTACTTTGTCACCTTTCCTGTAGCACAGCCACTAACAAAAGTGAATGAATTTGACATTTGTCTTCAGGAGGGAATCAACAAAACAAATTACCCTATAGTTAATTGGCCTATCAAGGACAATAGTTTAGGAAAATGAAATTCTGTGATATGCTTTTTGGCCTTAAAGATGTCTTCTACTACTGAAAATCTTTTAAATCGTAGCTTTGTTCCTATTACTCCCTCTCTGCCTCCTAAAGAGGAATTAGAATGACTTAAAGGAAATAGGATATTTGGTTTATTGCTGATGTCTCAACAAAAAAAAAATTGTCTACTGTGTAAGCTGGGGTCTTATTTTTGTGTTTGTGTACAGAAGAGATAAAATACTGGCCCGAGCCTATAAGAGTTAGTTCAATTGAGTCAATCAAAGCTTCCACTATACTAGTATATATTTTAATTAACAAAAGTAAGCCTGATACAGTAGAATTGCTACTTGACAAATGAAAACGTTTTTTTCTCAAGCACATTACCCAAACTTGAAGGATTGAGCCCATAATAATCAGGGCGGGGAGGAAGGACACCAAATGGGGTGAAGGAATAAAAGAAAGATTGTGGTCCAAAGCTATCTGGTTTTGATGTTGCCAATATTGCAAAGCCAAATTTTTTAATTTGCTTGTTTAATGTATCTTGGCCAGAGATGTATTTTTCTATCAATGTGCCTTGCATGTATATTACTTTTTTTTTTTTTTGCTAGACTATGTAGTAAAAAGCCTGAGATTGTTGACAGTTCTTACTTAACCACCTCACTAGTTTTCTTGCTGTGTGATATGCTTATTCTATTGCCCAATTGGTGCTCTCTGTTTAAAGTTAAGATCTTGTTACAAACTGGAACTATTTCGTAAACTGGGGAAGTGATTGACTTTTTTGGTTCTTAGTGTGTTCATGGCTGTTGTGTAGTGGGATATAGGAAAAAGATTTATTCCCTTTTCCTCCCTCTCCACCTTCGAGTAATATGACACCATTTCTTGTGTGCTTTGAAAAATAATTTCAGCTTGCTATCTCCTTTAGTGTTATTTTCTAAAGTGTTAAAAAATCATTGTTTGCAACAGGTAGGGAGATTAAAATGTAGTTAAGTTTAATTTGGAATTCTGAGTTAAAGCCCAAGTTATCAGCTACTCCCAACTTAAAAGTTTTTTTTTATTGTTAAAGCACCTTGCTTAAAAATTTTAAAATATCTATGTCTGCAACAATTGTCTAAAATTAATGAACTGTGCAATTCTTGTCATTAAAAAAATAACTCTCCCTAATGTGACTTGTTAGTTTATCTGTGTTTCCTGCCAGTGTAAATGTGAAAAGCTTTGCTTGCATTACCTTTTAGAAATGCATTTTGCACACTCAAGTTTTGCTAGAGGTCCATGGAAAGGTTAGTTCTAAGATGAATAAAGCTATGCACATGTTTTGAAATTTTCAATTTGTGTATCATTACCAAAAGTGACCTATCTTGCTATATTACTTTGCTGTTCTTAGCTTTACCATCTGTTGGAAACAGGTCAAAGTTAGAGTTGTGGGGCTCATCAGTAGAAATAAAGGCAAACTGGCACCTATTGTAGTAAACACTTCAAATGCGAGCTGGATTTGTATCTATTAAAGGGCTTTTCTAGAAACGGCAGTTGCACCAACTCTACAAACCATTGGATGCTATTTATTAGTAAAATTTTTATTTATGTGGTCAAATAAAAATAGGAAGTAATTCATGGTTGGAACGAAGAAAAAGTACTTGCCACAGGGAGGTCTGTGACAATTATGTGTCTAAAAGCTGGTTTAAACATAAGAGTACCCATTTTACCTGTATTGCTTTATCATGTGGTTTTACTGAATGATTGACTTGATTAGAATCATTCAATTATTTTAAGATCAAAGCACAGGTTATTTTAAAGATAATCTGTATCTTTAAAGTTGCCCACGCTGATTAGAATACCCTTAGAAATTTAGTGCGTTTGGTTACATTGCTGCAATCTGCATGTACTGTAGAGCTTTACTTCACATGTATGTGTACTTTAAAGGTTATGTAGATGTACTGGCCAGATTTTGTCAAGTCATCTTTTAAAACACCATTTTATAATCTCCTCTTTACCTTTGTCGGAGAGGCTAGTAAATTTTAAGTAGACCCTGTCACTTCAAGTATTTCCCCCATGCCTCTAGTAGTAGAAGCATTTCTATTGGAAGCTTTTTTCTGTCTAGATTACTTCTCTGTCATCAAGTATGCTCGTGGTGTATGTTGTTGACTTTGAACAGTAAAGCCCCTCCTGTGTCTTCACCAATAGTCGCAGTTAAACTTTATGTAGTTTAATGTCAAGACTCGAAGTTGACTCATATGCATGGCCTATAAGGCAGAAAAGTGCAGGAATGTAGCAAGCACATTGTTTGCGGTGGCCGTGGCTACTCTTCAGCATCTGTCACTGGTTCACGGATGTTCAGTCTTAGAACCTATTGGAGGAACACAGTAATTTGTTTTGTCTGCATAGGCGATTAGGAGCTGAGTTACCTCTTAATCTGGGGAAAGGATAACTAATGTGGACTACAATGTCAGAAGATGTTTTTCCTTCCCTCTCCCAAGTTAAAAAAAAGGAAAGGAAGTTTGTTTTGGTCAGTCAAAAGACAAACCTTTTCTAGGTAAGTGACCAGAAATTTACCCCTTTGCTAAATGCTTAGGTATTTGCCCTAGCTGTATCTGATGTCATGGATTCTGAGGAAGTGTCATTTATGTGATGATCTTCCTTTCTCGATGTCTTACTTCATGTTCAGTGTTTAAGAATGCAAATTGCAAACACTCTACCACCATGCCCAGATTTACTTATTTTATCAGAAAAAAAATCTTGAGAAATTTGTAGATCAAATTAAGAGAATACGTGTACATTGTTGAATAAAAAATTTAAAATTTCTGAGTGCTTATGTTATTCTTTATATGCTTTAATTATAAAAATTGGTTGAAAATTATATTGTGGCGTTGATAATCTTTCAAAGTAACATATACACCCACCCAAAAAGTCCTAAATGTATCATGGTGATGTGTTGGGTTTATTTTGTTTTAGTGAGCGCTAAGGTGCTTAGAACATTGTGTTTAAAAAGATGTGAGTTTTATAAATTCTATTTTGGGCATAGTATTGAGCTTTATTGCTCTTCAGTTAAAATTGAGCTAAGCAATTAAGTTTCTAGAATGTTACATTGGCCAAAATTCTGGACTTATTCCTAGTGTTATGAAAAAATATATATAGCAGAATATATCCAAGGCGGTTCCTAAGGTTTACTTATATTTCACAAGAGGGAGAAAAAAATAAATGCTGATATCAACAAATAGAACCAGCAATTCTGCATCTTTTAAACACAAGTAATTGGTCCTTGACTATTAGCTTACTTTGTTTCTTGCATATTTTGTCCAAAATGAGTGCTAGAAATGCCATTGGAAGAGAAAGTGTCGAGAAGAAAGACCAGTCTAATGTGTGTCTGTGAGGTAATATTTGGGTTGTGTGCCTCAAGATCAAGAGAATACTTGGGCTTGATAACTGTGCACGAGCAATTGTACAATCATGCTTGATCTAATCGGATTATGGGTTGTTAAACCTGTCAGAACTCCCAATAAAAATGGGTTTCAAAAGAATTGCACAAACACGGGTTTGACACCTTTAAAAATTCACAGCTGCATGAATGAGTTGTGTAAAGCATGATAATACAGTCCAGAAGATTGGGTTTTGTGGTTTCCATAAATGACGTTTTTTATTCATTTCAGCAGCTAACGTGGAAGCAGAACAAAACTCATTCTAGAGTGCATCAAAACTAGTGCATTAGCGCAAGGTCTCATGCTTGAGGAATTCTTGCTTGGAGCTTTTAATCCACTATTGTTGGATACGACGAATCGATTGGATCTGGGCAGTCTGGGCATGAGATCCCCACTCTCTCCAGTGCTTATAGTCGCCTCCATGGTGGTCACATTCCAAGATATACTGATACCCACGGTATCCAGGATACTGGTAGCAGACCCAACTAAAATGCAAAGCGTATTTATTTTTACTACCAGTTAGGAACCTGGTCAACCTAAACCTCAGCACATTCTGTACAATGTTCAGGACGCATTTAGGTTTAGAATACAATGGTCCTCGATGTGCTAGGCACACTGGCAAAAGGAGCAAAGCTTTTTGCCACGGAGTCCCAATTCATACTCCTTAAAACACCTAAATTGCACCATAGGGTGTCCAAGGCTGTCAAAAAACCAACTTTTTGGTTAGCTGTGGAATGCTTATGCGCCTCACTGCTCCTATGTATAACATCTTACAACCAGGTTAGCATTTGGATCCGTTGTAAACTCAGCAGCTCTGCTGTTAAAGACATGAATAGTTCTGGAAAAAGCTATTTTGCCCAAATTCCTTGGACATTATTTGTCTTTATGAATACCTGAGAAGAAAGCAATAGTCCAATGTTCCCATAAGGGGATGTGGGGGGAGAGAAAGCAAGCAGGTGGCACCAAGAGTTTGAGGCGCAGCTAATAGGATGCCGTGTCTATACCAATATGGTCTTAATGTACAGTACTGGCTAAAACGACCAGCGGTGTATTAATATTCACAAGGTCTACACTGGCAGGAGTTCACTTTGAAATGTGCTCTAAACCCAGTTTTTACACTTACGCTCCACATTGTATCTTCATGGAACCAACTTCATTGTTGAACCAACCCATGGCTTGTAAAGAAGGGTAGTCGTCACAGAGCGCCCACTGGTGTCCAATGAAGTTTTCTTTCTCAAAGATGGTCATCTTGGACTCTTTATGATTCTATAGTTCACACATTAAGGAATGGCAATTCTTAAATTGTCGTGCAAGTAGGCTTTTCTAGTTTAAGAAAGGAACAATCATTGTACAGAATCCAGCAATAGGGAAGCTTAAAAGAGACAGCCATAAACCTATGTAACATTTTTAAATGTACAAGTTACTGGTTTTATACTGTAGGACGAGAAAGACCAATGAGGATACAACTGGAGACAATACTGGCAACAGCCAGCTAAGGGATTCTTACTAATGTGGAAAAATGTCACAAGTTAATAGGAAAAGTAATGTGTTTAGGACACGAACTCATGTATATGTGTAGCTATAAAACTAAATTGAATTACAGTGAGCCATGCTTATAACCATTACATTTTGTGTTTGTGGTACTTTGTGCTAGTAATGTACTGCATACAGTGTTGCAGCACTTAATGTGCTGATGTTACCGCTTTCACATGTTTCCTACCCCCAGAGACAATACAATTTGATACTGATCATAAAATGAGCTGATGCCAGGGGCTTACGTGGAGAGCAAATGTTTTGAGAATGATGAGGGTAATGAATGTACAAATGTGCTTTACGCAATTGATGTATGTATGGATTGTGGTAAGAGTTGTATGAGTCCCCAATAAAATGATTTAAAAAGAAAAAACCTGCATAAGAGAAACAAGTACAACATAAGCAACCAAGCTTAATGGTTTTGTAAAATCATGAGCACAACTTCATTATAACGTAAACTTCACAGAAAATTACATTTACATTTTAAAATGCAATAATGAAAACCTTAAAATGAGGGGTTGATGTGTCAGAACAAACGTACATTGGAGTAGTCTTCTGATTGGGATTAGCTATGTACTTAACTGTGTGTGTGTGTGTGTGTGTGTGTAAATACATGTGTGTGTGTGTGTACATACATTGACACATTTAGGTTGGAGATAACCTAAATGGCCAGTATTGAGTCAATTAAGTTGTGTTACATGAAGTAGAACACTGCACACGCATTAAGAAGTGGAGACTAATTCAAAACACAACCCTGGTGATGGTTGGGGAACAGCTGACTGGACCGGATACGGGAAATTTTAAGGTGTGATGAAATTGCTGTATTTGATGATTAACCTGTTGGTTACATGGATGTATATATATTTCAAAACTCACTTTATACTTGAAATATGCATTTGGCTGTATTCAAATTATACCTGGGTGTAATAAAAAAGAAAAATCACTTTAGAAATTTGGGCAAATTGAGAGCTGTTTGGTTTAACTAAAGTCCTTGAATTTTGCCAAGACTGAGATCAGTCTCAGTTTAAAACCATGAGCAAGGGGAATTGTGTGTGTGTGTGTTCAGTATCAATTTGGTGTGTGTGTGTGTGTGCGCGCGCAGTCTCAGTTTAAAACCACGAGCAAGGGGAATTTGGGGGGTGGGGGTGGGTGTAATATCTGGAAAGGTTCCATTCCAGACAGGAGGGCCATTTTCAACACATCCTGCTTCTGCTTTAAATCCTTCTAAAACTTTCTTTTTATGAAAATCCATTGGATAATGCTTAATGTTAGAAATGAAGACTTTGATCATAGCAGACATAACTGGAAGGCTTGCTTATTTCCTCATTTCCAGTCATGGTTACCAGTGCCCGGTTTTCTGCAGTGAAGTGTTAGGCAGATTGAAATGTTATCTGGCTGCAGATTTACTTGCTGCGCATAAGTGCTCTCACTAGTCCTGGGGACTTTTGAAGATCCGGACTCTTGGATATCCATTTCCGGCTCTTAGGAGGAGGCCCTTGCCTTCAGCTTCAAGTAAACGCAACCTGGTAGAGCAAAGTCAAGTGGCCGGCCTAGAGAACGGGGAGCAACGTTGCTTTTGTCCTTTACACGGCTGCATTTCACCCTAACTGCTGAGAAGTAACTCAAATGTCAATCTGCGGGCACCCTGTAGGCTGCCACCCCACCCCCTGCTTAGAATTGGAGACTTCAGAGACTCACAGCTGAACAGATGGGGCGGAAGGACGCGAGGCGCTCGATGGGGTACGCATTACTCCCACTCCAGGCCTCCCAGCGAGGGTAGTCTCCTCGCTCCAAGATAAACTGTTGTCCACAGAGGTTGGTGTGCTCGTAACCAATCCAGCTGCCAAAGAGAGGTAGTGGTGGTCATGATGCTTGGAGGCTCCATGGTCGGGAGGACGCTTTAACTCACTGCCACCGTGTGGACTCCAACCCAGAGTCGACGGCGACCCTATAGAACAGGTAGAACTGCCCCTGGGGGTTTCTGAGACGGACCCTTTCTGGGAGCGATTAATTGGTGGTTTCAAACTGCCAGCCTTGTGTAACCACTCCGCCAGCAGGGCCCCTACGGTCTAGATAATACAGGGGTAAACTATCAAGCCAGTACCTACCAATAAAGCCATAAAAGGTGTATTTATCATAAGAGGCAGGAGGGGAAAAGCTGGCAGCTATTCAAGCAGATTTATAAAGGTGATCATTGTTTTGGGACTACTCGCTGAAAAAGTTATACTTTGGTGGCCCAAGAAATGTTAATGGAAAAAAAATGTTATCGGGAAAAGTAATCTACAGCCATACAAGGGGGTACCCCCGCCAAAACAGATTTTCCCCCAAGATTATGTAATTATTATTTTTATTTTATTATGTATTTTTTTTATAAAACAACCTAATCACCTTCTAAGTACTCTCCATGACACTTAATAAATTTGTCAGATCTGCGATTTCATTCTTGGAAACCTTTTTTCAAACTCATCTGTTTGGATGGCTGACAGCACCTCCCTTGTTTTTTAATTCACCTCTTCTCTGTCGTCAAATCACTATTTCATGCCCTCCTTCATTTTCAGCAACAAAAAGAAGTTGTACTGGGCAAAGTCAGGTGGTTGGGGCAAGAGAGGCATGCTCTTCTCTCTGGGCAAGAAAAGTCCAGGGTCCTGTGACTATTCTGAGGGAATTGCAGGTAGCAACCTTTGGGCTCTAGAAGCACAGATCTGGTTCCTCTTGCTGCCCCGTCCATGAGCTCTACTCTTTGAACCCCCTCCTAACCCAGTACCAAGTTAGAACCTCACGTTTCTCACTTCGGGTGATGTACACACACAGTGATCTCTTTGGGGATTGTGTCAGTACTGAGGTCTCTCTCCCAGAAACAATTAGGGTCTGGGGGAGCACCTTTCTTCCCTTATCTCCATCCTTAGGGTCCCATGTTGAAGCCCCTACTCACGCGCCGCATTCCACCTTGAGAGACCGGACATGATCCAAACTGCGCTCAGAGACATTTGGGCAGGAGCTGGTGAACTCCATCCTCTTGCCCTGGAAGTTCTCTTGGTCATAGACGGTCATCTGAAATGGGATGGAATGGGGCAAGAGAGCTAGATTTTGGTATACTAGGAAGAGCAGAGGTCCAAGTTGACAGTTCACTTGTATCTGACCCTCTGTTTTCTGTTACCCGCTTCAGCTGATCATGCCCAAGGTCATGGCATATGAGCCTGATGAGATCTTTTCCAGAGAGACAGAGGAGAGAAGGGTTTGAATTAACCCACAGATTGTTGGTATGCCTAGGCTTGCATCAGTTTGCAGTGTGGGGCATTGATTTGTGTGCCAGGAGTGATAACTACCAAATAGACAAACCAAGGGTTTGATGGTTTGAATCCCATGGACTGTGTTCCATCACGTTTCCCACACAAAGCGTGCTCCAGAGGGCAAGATCTTAGGAATCTCAGGAGCTCCCTGTGTATTATTTTTTTAACTTCTTCAACCATACCCACTACAGAAGCCTAAAATATAAAGAGCTTTTATTTCTCTTATTCCTTGAACTAGATCTTGCCTCTGGGAGCCTGGTCAGAGGACAGAGACCACTCCCAAAGCTGTGAGCTGGCCTCAGAGTTGACCCAACAAGGTTGACCGAGATGGAGCATGAAGGAAAGTCGTGAACGGCCTGAAGCCAGGAACTGAAACCAACCGTAGGTTGGGAGTAGGAGAGCTGAGTTCTGTTACTCCTTTGAGGTCTGATAGCAAGTCTCTCTTCATTTCTGGATCCTCAGTTTCCCCAAAGGCACAATCCCCTCAGGATTGCTTGTTTTGCAGTGAGTTTTAAGAGTCTGGCAAACAGTTGACCTAGGAAACCGAGCATCATCCATCTCCTACCCATCATGTGCTTCTAGGGCCATCTTTCCTCTGTTCCAACAGTGGACCTCCTGAGAGAGCCTTCCTTCAACAGGGTCAGCACTTTGGGTCAGCCCTGTGCCTACAAATCCTAAACCAAACCATTGCCGTCAAATCAATTCCAACCCATAGTGAACTTATAAGGTTTCCAAGACTGGACATCGATGGGGGCAGATAGCCTCTTCTTTTTCCCTCCAAGTGGCTGATGGTTTGAACCACCAACCTTGCCGCCAGCAGCTCATCGTCCATCCCATCATGACACACCAGGGGGCCAGTTCACTGTCCCTCAGACCCATTGGAGGGCCGGACTATAGTTTTAAAAAAAACTATAAACAAATTCCTATGCACACTGCACATATCTTATTTTGAAGTAAAAAAACAAATGGGGGAGAAACACCCATCGGGCTGGATAAATGTCCTCGGTGGGCTGCATGTGGCCCGCGGGCCGTAGTTTGATGCCTGCTAGGGGCTTATTGGTTGATCGTCGTCACATTGAAAGCATAACTCTCCTGCAACCTTGGGGCCTGCTTTGTGGCACTCCCTCACCCCCTGATGTGCTGGGTCTCCATTCTTCAATTCTCATGTGATAGGATGGACTTACCTTCCATGGCCCCAGGGGTCCTGGCTTGGGATTGGTGTGAGCCATCTTGGCCGATGGAAGGGTTTCTGGAAGACAACACACTTCCGTGGAATGGGGCTCTAGAACGGAGGAGGGAGCAAGCTTGAAGTTCAATAGACGGGTTGAAATCTCGCCACTGCTGTTTATGAGCCAAGCCTTGGTGTTTCCTGCTGTAAAACTCTCTGGGCAGGATTCTTGAAAGGACCCAGGCGACTGCCCAGGAAAAGCAATGGCCTTACTCTGGCCTCCAGGCACCCCCTACAGGTGGCAGTGTTGCCTCAGGCTCACATAGCCCCATATCAACTCCTGGGCAACCATCTAGTCCAGCCCTCTCTTGTTCAGCCACACTGTAGCCATGCCAGGGCTCCACCAGCTCCCCTTGCCCCACGGCCCCTAGAGGTCTTACTCTCACAGGGCTCCTTACCACCTTCAAATGGTCAGGGGCCGGGCAGAACCCCGCAGCCCTTCCCGGTCTGCTTCTCTGTCGTTCACAGCCTACCCAGCCCAGCTTTCACCTCCTCAGCCACTCTCCTCCCTTCCTGGGCTGCAGGACCAGCTTTCTCCGGCCCCCTCTAGCCCCACTCACAGCACTGAGCTGTGTTCTGACCAGTCATGGCCGGGGGTGCACATTGCCCTGGCAGGCCCTGGGTGAATCACCACCATAAGACACGTGTGGGGAGGGGTGTGTTAAGAAAGACTTCCTGAAGGAAAAAAACCAGGAACAAAGAAGGGGGAGTAAAAACCAAACACCTCACCCGGGGCTCCCTCTAAACTTGGCCCTGCTTGAAATGCTTCTCATGCGTGGACGCCTTGACTCTTGACAACAAGCCCATGAGGTTAAGTACGATCATGATCTCCAGTTCAGAGATGTGAATAATTCATCCTCTAATCCACTGAGTTGATTCCAACTCTTAGTGACCTCTATGGGGTTTCCAAGGCTGCCCATCCTTATGGGAGCCTCGCCTTTCTCTTGGGGAGCAGCTAGTGGATTCAAACCACTGACCTTCCAATGAGCAGGCCAGTACTTGCCCAATAGGGCCACCTGGGTTCCAGCCACTGAGAAAAACGGTAGTAGGAAGAAAGGGGCTGGAAGGGGAGGAGAGGGAGAGAGAAGCTAGGCCTCAGGTTTCAAGGCTCAGGATACGTTTCATGGCTCTTAGCTTTGGCTGCTGGGAAGCCCCACTAGGTGAGGGTTGGTCACCTCTGCTATAGTGAGCAACACATCCCAGCTCCTGTGCCTGCCTTCCGGCTATGCCCCAGGAGTCAGCCACCCTCTTGGGTCCCCATGCCCCCCTCTCTCCAGTCAGGGTGGCTGGGCCGGTGGTTATTTCCCCGAAAGTGATTCCTCTTGTGTGGCAAGAAGAGAAGGCTGCCTCTTCCCCGAGTTCCCCCACTGTCCTCTCGTCATCCCAGGACAGGAGAACAGAGCCGCCTCCAAAGGCAGCCCTCGGGTCCTACTCACCCAGCTCCTGCTGCATAGTCTGGGGCTCCAGCTGGGGCCAAGCCCTCAGCACACCCCTCTTTGTAGGCCCACGGCTGGGGGCTTTCAGCCGTGTCAGCACTCTGCTTGCCCTCTGCCTTTGTTCCCCCTGATCCCCGGAGCTTTCTCGACAAAGCCTGTAGGCTGGGCACCCATGGGAGCCTTTGTTTAAACAATGCAAAGAGGCCCCTGCGGCTGTGGGCCGGGCTGTCTGGTCCAGAACTGGGCTGTTGAACTCGGAGCAGCTCAAGACCAGCCGAGGGGCCTCTGAAGTGAAAGACCTATGCTTGCTTCTTTTCTGGGGTGGTCCCCCACCCATTGAGAGGCCCCGCTTTATAGCAACCACATCCAAAGACACCTCACTTCCCACGTGGAACATAGCTGCTGCTTGTTGCTGTTCTTCGCCAGTGTAGCAGGGTTCTTCGCATTCTACACCTAACAGAGGCGGGGAAAGGGGTTCGCTCTGTTTTCCGAATTTGCCCTTCGTGGTGCTTATCGATGAGGAGGTAAGAGGTCAGAGATGGATTCCATCACCGCAGGCTAGTGGCCATGTTGGCAGGAGAGACCGGCCCCTGGAGAAGGACACTGTTCGGTATAGTGTAGGGCGGCGAAGAAGAGGAAGGTCCTCAGGGAGATGGGTGGACACCATGGTTGCAACCCGGGGCTCCAACGTGGGGCGACGCGGGCCGAGCCGAGCTTCCTGCCGCTGTCCCCAGCTCGCTGTGCGTCCGAACGACCCCTTGGCACCGAACAACAGAAGACACAAGGGCCCGGAGCAATTGTAGTGAACATGAATTCATGGTGATGGCGTCGCTTTCCTGTCAAAGGGTGGAGCCGATCTACCCTTGGGGTTTTAAATCGCTGATTTCACTGTCAAGTCAACTCCCACTGGTGGCGACCCTGCGGGCGTCGGAGCAGAACGGAGCGGAGCTGCTTTTTGCGGCAGATGTCTCAGAAGCAGGCCTGGTTTCCAAAGGCCTTGTTTCAGGCCATCGGAACTCACACAGGCCCACGGTTCTGTGTGGCTCTGCCATAGTGGATCAAATGACTTTTTCATGGAAATTCTGGACACTTGGTCAGGGTCCCCAAATCCCAAAACCAAACCCACTGCCAAACTGTCTTTGTCAGCCGCTCACCGCCAGCGAGTTGAGGCCAGCTCATAGTGACCCTCTAGGGCAGGGCACGGCACGTGTCCTCCAAGACTGGTCTTTCTCCCGTGGAATGCCTGGTGGCTCCACGGCTGACCTTGTGGTTCTGGTGCATGTGTAACCGTGGTGCCGCCGGGGCTCCATATGGGACAGGGTCATGGAGCAGGTCTGTGGGCTTCCCCGGGACCCCTGAAGAAGAGGATGTATTATTTTCAGAGAGGCAGGGTGATGGAGTGCTGTCGGGAGGTGAACGTGGGTGACTTTGGGCAAGTCCGTCAGCCTCAACCTCAAAAAAAAAAAAAAAAAAGGAGAGGAGTATCTATTTGTCCTCCCCCCCACTATCATGATCCCTTACAAATCTGCCTGGACCGGAGGATGTACATTGGTACAGATAGCAACTGGACACACAGGGAATCCAGTATAGATGACTCCTTCAGGACCAGTGGTGAGAGGGGCGAGGCCTGGAGGGTGAAGGGAATGTGGGGTAGAAAGGGGGAACCAATTA